CTCAGGCTAAGGCCATCAAAAATAAAGTGCGTCTAAAGGCTGACCACAGGTAAGCCTAGCAGGCAGGTACAGCAAAAATGCTGCATCGAGGCTGAAACCCACCACCTCCCCCACCCAACCCCCACAGGCACTGGGATGGAAAGAATAAGGATGAAATTAAACATTTTTGAGGGGGGGGGGGGGGGGGGACCATAAAACTATTCCACTTTTGTAAAGTATGAAGACGAAAATATGTGCCAAATAAACTTTCCAAATAAATGAAGCTTATACCCTCAAAGTACACATCTCCTACCACCAAAAGCAAAACAAAACAAAACAACCTCCCCCACTCAAAGGAGGCCATCCTAAAATGGATTTCCTACTTTCGGGCCTTCTGCGAAGAGCCTAATCTCACCTTTCCTCCTCTCACAGTCATTACAAGAAGCACCAATTACAATAAAACCTTTATAGGTTTGATTTTTAAGTTTCTCAGTTCACTCACTTGGGATGAGCCCACCCGCCTATCTTTTTTATCAGAGGAAAGCCTGTTTCTGGCAGCACGTCAAGCCCCTTCTGGTTGGCTGCTGGCACCGCAGCATGGGCTGGGGAAGCACGGCTTCTTGAGTGGCCCCGGGAACCCACCTCGGGGGGCTCGGAGAACTCAGACTTCTTTCCACCTTTTCTGCTATCTTCCCAACTTAGGTAGACAGACAGTGAACTTTAACACAGTCATCTAGTCATCTAAAACTGCCACAGAAGGGCCTAAATTCCTATTTCAGCCCTGTGTTTCTATGAAAGTTAAATGAGGCCACTGTTTTCCAAAAGTCAGTCGATGGACTGGTGCCAAAGCCGACATCCTCACAGGTCTGGTGCAAGGTGAGCAGAGTGAGGTCACTGTGCTAGTTTTACAACAGGCAGAGCTTATTCATTTAACACATCCTAGCTTTTAAATTTTAAAAATCATTTTAATATCCTCAGACTAATGAAAGTAGATGGGAGTTTCTCAAGAAAAATATTTTGGTCAAAAAGAAAAAAAGAAAGAAAACTATGCTGGGTTGATACCCCCACCTTTTAAAATTTGCTGCTCCATGGAACTCCAAAGCCTGGGAAGCACTCCCCCAGGTCATGGCCTTGGTGGGTAGAGCATTGTAAGGTAAGTGCTGGACACAGACATATTTCCCCCTCCCTAAGCATACCAGAGTTCCTCCTCCACACTGGAAAACTACCTCTGACCAAGGTAGTTTACCCAAGGAAAGGCAGGTCTCCTTTAAGACAAAAGGAGAACTGTAGAAAGCAGGAGCCCTGAGTAAATTAATCAGCGCGTAAATGTAGTTAGCACGCTAATGTTAAACTACTCTGGCGCCAGAAGGGTAGCAACTAAGTCAACTTATCTACTCAGCACAAGGGTGCAAATGATTTAACCTCTCCTTTGATCTGTTCACTATATTACTGTTGTATGTACCCCATGGCAGTGTGGATTTCTAGCTGACTGGCCACCATCCACAACTCCCATTACCTATTGGCCCACATGAGTTTCCTTGGAATAGGCAAACACTATGCGAGTGCCTTTTTGGATTTGGGGCTCTGCCATTCTGACTCTAGGTGCCACAGAAAAATGCAAACTGTAAAAATGCAAAGAAAATTTTGGTCAATTTATTTATGACAAAAATGGTGTTGTAA